AGTATAAATTTGAGAAAAAAAATAATTTAAGACATTCAAATAAACACTTGTAAAATAAATGAAATTCAGCTCGGTTTCATTTTGTAAGGTTTTTAGCGCCAGACTCTCTCAAATGTGATGCCAAATATTGACTTTCCCAGAGAAGAAGGTCGAACTTGATACACAACATGGTGACCACATCCAACAGAATCAGCTGTATGTCAATGCACTGGGCGACCACCACAAATCAACCCGACTGAAAAAAAAAAACATTATTCACCTTGGCTCCTCTCAGTCACATGCACATGAGTCACTATTCCTACTTCACCATTTTAAAGATGGCAGCAGTTAGCTCGACCATTATCCTGCCTCTCCCGCCAAATTAGCCATTTGACCAGACTACCTCGACTAAGACGACCAAATTGGCCGCCTCGGCCAACAAAGTCAACGGGACTGTCTCATCCAGCACGACCAACGGAACTGCTGAAACACCTCTAAAGGAAGTAGAACAGACCAGTTGATGACGAGGAGTCAAAAATACCCTCTGACAATATAAATGCGCAACGAATGGCAAGTTGTTAGCAAGGAAAAGAAAAAGATTTAAAACACAAAAACAAAGGAACAATGAGAATGGGGCACAATCCGATGTTAAGGTCTCCGATAATTCCATTACTGTTGCTGCCAAAAGTTCGATTGATTACAAATTCGTACTCTTTTTTTGTCACATTTTATCCAGGCCTTTTGTTGTGTGCGCATAACTTTCATCAATATTCTGTTACTCTTTCCTGAATAATTTCCTTTTGTTTATGTCGATTGTATTAGCTCTTCACCGCGGATTTCATTCATTCGGATCAACCGTTTAACTATTTGAACCGATTAACTGTTTATACCGTCCCTATCGATCGCTTTACGCCGCTTTACGTCGCTTTACATCGTCTGTTTAATTTGGCAGTTGACTCAGATCTCGTACGATGTTTGTAAGTGTCTTTTGTTTTCCTTTGTTTTTATTTTCTCGTTTGTTAATTTCTTTACCTTGAATTGTGACAACTATAACTTGTAATCCATTTCTTGCAACGATTAGATATCTATTACTTCACTTGGTTTCGTTTAGCCATTTTGGAAGAGAAGTTGGACATGTAAGGAGCATTTATGGCTACAACTCTGATGTACAACCCTATCAGTTGGAGGTTCCTTAATAAAGACAAATGTATGTTGTAGAAAGCTAGGAAAACCGTTGGCCACCGAGCAGTGGTCAAATTATTCTGTAAGGCCACCATAAAAGCTATGAAGGAAACACCTCAAAGCTAACCTGGAGCATTCGCCGGACCAAGTCGTTCTCTATGTCGGCTCCAATAACATTTAACATAAAAACTGTTCCAAAATGCTGAATCGATCGTGGACAAATCGAAAATTCATCCGACGCCAACTTCGCTATATCTAAGCTTACTTCTACAAGGGATGGATTCAATGGAACAGTGAAAGATGCTAATAAACATCTAAAGAGCTGCTGCCGTCAGAATAGATGGAAAGTTATCCAGCGTCTAAAGATCACAGAGAATGGCCTAAATAAGAGAGGACTGCATCTTAGTTATAAAGGTAATCAAAACATTTTTAACAACTTTAACGTGCTCCCCACAGATTTCCTGCGTGCTCAGTGTATTAAATCCAACAGTGAATACCGTATACTGAATGAAAGCGGTAGAGAGGGTCCAACATGGGTTTGGCAGGATGTAGGCTGAGGCTTAAATTACGAGATTCTTTAAAGGCGAGATGCAGGATGAAGATAGGAAGCGAGACCGGGACATACTTCGATTCGAAGGCGGGATAGGGTTTGGGACGGGTATAGGCGAGTTCATAAAAAGTATTTCTTTGCTTTAAAAACGGGCTTGATTAATGCTTAATGAGCGTAAATTGAGGCTGTCAGGCCTCACTGATTCCGTAGTAAGTCGATTTTTCTCTGTATTAGCTAGAATTGTTTACACGAAACTCCATGGTATATTCGGTTTTCTCGCCCTCGTTATAATTTTTCTCTCACGAGTATGTCTGAGTGAACATTTCTTTCTGTACGATATTATCGGTTCTTTGAGGATTTCTCTTAGCAGTGGTTGTTGCTGTAATAAATGCCACTTCCTCATAAGGATATTATACGGTTTGGGGATTTGGAACTGTTGGATAGTATTTTCAGTTAGCTCAGGAAAGGGTTTGAACTTTATTACAAATGATGTATTTCTGTTATTAAAATACGATGGAAACTACAATTGATAGGATTTTCATACGATAAGAAAAGCGCAAATGTGGTCATGTGGAAAGACAAGGAGTATGAGTACATCTCAAGCGCGTGAAATAAACAACAATAAGGAGCTCACCATTCTTCGCTTGCGAAATGTCAGCCGTAAAGAATGTAGAACAATGGTGTACGGAGTGGGAACAGGCCCTCTAATCAGCATTATTTATAACTGAAATCATTATAATAATAACAATAATAATAACAAAATTTATAGAGCCATTTCCATATAGCCCAATGGCACTTTACAATAAAAAAAGAAATAGAAAAGTAAATCTAACCTATTTATGATGAACAAATATGTAAATACATAATTTAAGAATATATATTTAAGTACTATTAAAAACATATGAATCTCTTGCTAGGTCCATATCTATTGCTAAGAAAAATAAAATAGTAATAATAATTGTAAAAAATAAATTAAAAATATTTTAGAAGAGTCATACCATGGTGGTAGGACTTCAGCCAATTCAGCACTTTTCCTTTTATTCCGAAACCTCCGGAGAGCCTAGTTAAAAGCAGCTTGTGATCAACCGGTTATCTTTCCCTGATTTGACATCTACATCCTTTGGAAAGTAGTCTTCAGAGTCTCAATCACGCCCATAACCCTTGAATTACAAGGTTTCAATGATGCGAGAGGTCTGAGAACTCTACCGGCATGACCCCTTGAACGAAGTATACAACAGAGTATCGAGTTGAACAGGTACTGAGCTCGCTTTTGTGAAAGAATAGAACATTCTTAAAGATGGGTCAGGAGCATGTTGCCATGATCTTAATGGTTATCACTGGCTTTTCAGAAGTTTAAAGACCACATTTAATAGGGGAGATACAAGTAGATTTGCTCTCACACTGCAGTGATGCACTCTGTATGAGAGGCATCTGCATTTTTATGAAACGTGACCATTTTGGTGTAAGACCACACACTTTATCTTCTTTTTTTGTCACCAATTAAACAAGTTTTAGAGTTTTTTTTTTAAATAGTCAAATCAATTGCTTCTTAATGAGTGCAAAGTAATGTTCCCTGATTTTGCCTTCTACAAAACAAATAGGTCCACACTGCTTTCGTGTGTCTTGGCTAAGATGAAATTGCATGGTTACAATTATTCCGCACCATAGGTCTACTTTGAAGGTACACTGTATCAGTGGTTGCATAAGTGTGCTAAAGTTCACTGGTTTTCAAAGTTGTGTGATAGCCTGTCTAACAATTAGACTATGAGTTCTGAGTTTTCTAAGCAAATAAACCTTTTTAGCCATGTGGTCACATGGTTTGAAATGAGTAAACAAGAATTAAAAATGACTGCTCAAGTATTTGCTTCAGATGACATCTTATAGATGAAACTGCCTTTTCTTTTTGCTGAAACTTTCATTTTCACAGATAAATTAACACTTTAAAGACTGGGGTATTAGAAATCGGCAACAAAGGAAATGGAGTTTGTAATGAAGATTTCAAACACCTCAAGCTGGAACGACAAATTTTTAAGTGAATGACCCTTCAAGGTCGCAATATGCAATATTCCAAAGACAACAAATACTCTGTGAACATAGAGTCATAGTTTCCCTGGATAGCCTACCTTAAATTTTACTTAAATCCATGTCTGGACATTCTTATTTGCAAGATAAATTTATGGCATTTGCCCTCTCTTTCCCCGCCCTTTTGGAAGACTTAAACAAGCTTTTTTTGCCCAGCCTTTCAGCATTTTCTGCGGTGGCCAGAACCACAGCTACTTAATGCCATCATGAATTTGGCACTTTGATCTTGGAAATTCTGGCGGAATTATTCAATTATTGATTTCAAGGCTGGGGCATGCGTGTCGCTCATGGTGTCCTTGTCTTTGTTGTTGGATTAACTTTGGCAGAGTTCTTAGCTGGATAAATATTTGATAAATTTAATGGATTTATCAGGAAAAAGATGCACACAATATCATATTGCAGCTAGTAAGCTGAATTGCACAAAATTTAAAGTAATTTTTGGAAAAAATTTAATATTATGTGCATGGTCCATAAAAACTACTATACATGATAAAATTTGCATTATAAAATCCTTGTTTATTAGTATCAAATTTACTTAAAACTTAGTTTATGTAAAACTGATATTTACTCATTGAAAATCGTTTATGACTAGTTAAAACTAGGAATTGTTTTTTCCATACACAGATGGTTTAAAAGAACATTAATTTTGTATCGGTCAATTCTTGTGAGCAGTCTTTGGAAGGTTCGAGTTTTCCTTGTTTTGTACTTTGGTTGGTGCTTGAGTGGAAGCATTAAACTTTGCATTTGAAGCAGACACACGAGGGTTCTCCCAAAGGGGAATGGAAAGAATAAAAAGGATCACCAGGCAAAGATATGTACGAAGCTGTAAGTGTGGCGGAAGGGATTGCCGCTTTCAGACGAGTTTATGGTATTACTAAATGTCTTCAAGTTCTACCATTTGTTCCTTAATAGCGTCAAGTCCTCAAGTAGGAGGGAGATTGGGTGGGTGCATTAACTTCTCATCTGCATGTTTGGCCTGAATTAGAAATGCTTTGCTTGTTGGTTAGCTTGAACCTTCTTTGCCTTTGTGTCTTTCCAGTCTCCCAGAGTAACTGATGCAAGACAGCGGTCACCGTGTGCATTTTACCAACTAAACTTTATTGCCAAATAAGGGAATACAAAGCTCTGACGCAATCAACTAAATATCGTAACATCTTCTCTTTTCTTTTTGAAAAAAAAATGAGAAATAAAAAAAATAAAAGTAAGTTCAAATAAAGTCCTTGAACTTGAGAGGTGGCTTAATTATCCTGGTACGTGTACACTTCATGGGTACAGAGTCCGACACAAGATCAGGTACAGGATCAGGTAAATGATTGGTTACGGGATCAGGTGCAGGATCCGGTACATGCGGGCTGACTTTTTTTGTGATAGACACTTCGGGAACAGGTACTCTAACAGGCTTTGTAACTTTGTGTGAAGTTTCCATACCAACTTTTGCTGCTGACTGTTCCTGTGGTTTGAGAAACTGCCTGTTGCGACGAATGGTTTCACTACCAGTCTTCACCAGGTAAGACCTGTCGGACAGTTGCTTGACAAGAGTTCCTGCTTGCCAGCTCTTGCCTCTCTGTAGTGGTGCTACTCTGGCCTCTTGACCGACTTCAAGTGGCAGCAAAGGCTTTGCTGTTTGGTCATGATAACTCTTTACTTTCTGCCTTTTCAGTATGATTTTATCTTCCACACCTTCCACGACACGGAGTTGAAGTAGAGTTGGGGCTGTTGGGATGAGCGTCTTCGTTCTTTGAGACATGAGTCTCTGTGCTGGGCTAGATCCTGTGGTTTCCACAGGTGTGTTTCTATATTCAAGTAAAGCTAGCCAAGGATCTTTCTCATCTCGGAACGCTTTCTTGAACAGACTCTTGGTGACTTTCACTGCAGATCCTGCTTTCCCATTTGACTTGTGATGATGGGGAGATGAAGTCACATGTTTGAACTCCCACTCTGTGGTTAACTTCCTGAATTGATGGCTTGTTAATTGTGGGACATTTTCTGAAATGAGAATGTCAGGGATTCTGTGCCAGCTGAATTGTTCCTTCAGAAACTGAATGATGGCTGGTGAGGTCGTGTCACTGAGCTCTTGGACTTCCACAAAGTCTGAACAATAATCTTCTAGGACTATGTAATATTTCTTGCGAAAGGGGAGCATGTCAACTGCAAGTCTCCTCCAGGGACGATCTGGAACTTTTGGTGTCTGCATTGGTTCTTTGGGGTTATTCGCTCGAGACTCTGCACACACAGAACACTTTGGAATTGCTTATTTTATCTCACCGTTCATTCTGGGCCAAAAAACATCATCTCCAGCTTTTCTTAAGCATGCTTCAACGCCAAGGTGACTTGTATGACTTCTGGAGATGATTTCTGGTCTAAGTGCCCTCGGGATGATGGTGCGTTGGCTCTTAAACAGTATGTCATTGTGTAAGGAAATGTCTTATCTGCGGGTTCAGTGTTCTCCGATTTTAATAGGGATCTCGTTTCTGTTCTGGCCATCCTACTAATACTGTGGTTTTTCAAGAGTAACATGAAGTCTCAAGGGAGTAGCTAATACTGACTTCTTAAATATCGCTTGCAGTGGTTTATGATCAGACTCTATGATAATCTTCTCTCTTCAACTCCTAGGTCTGTTAGCTTCTCTGGAAGGTTTCTCTCAAACTCTTTGGGAGCTAGACTGGTTCCGAAGGGAATTCTGAGATAATGATAGTGACCGAAAGGGGTCCAGAACATTTTCAATTTGCTGCTGGCTTCATCGAGGCTGATTTGATAGAAACCGTCTTTAGCATCTAGCGTACTAAATACTTTGGCCTTGCATAGTTTTGGCAACAATTCTTCAAGAGTAGACATTTGATACCTTGGACGCTGGATGACTTTGTCAGGCTCTGGAGGGTCTAGACCCCAGTTTTTCCAGATTTGGCCACCACCACCATGTTACTGATCGACTCTGTTGGCGCTGTTCCCTACTTAATTCTCCCTTTTGTTTCTAAATCGGCAAGCTTAGCTTTTATGTCGTTTCTTAGGGCTGGTATCCGCCTTGAAGTGGGCTGAACCGGCACTGCTGTTGGGTCAACTGCGAAGCTACTGTAACTGATGTGTTTGAGTCCCTCAAAGACATCTCTGTAATCTTGCAGTATACTGTGTAGTTAGAGGAATATACTTCTCATGTAGGCCTAGAACTTCGGCTTGGGATCTTAGCTTGAGAGTCCCAACTTTTGGCAGGTTTGTGCAGATAATAAGGGTTTGTTTGAACCACTGACTACTTGAGACTTGAGAACTTGAGTTTGTGAACCGTATGTGACTCTAAGATTGACTACGCCCAGGGGATTCATCATGGAATTATCAAGCAGTTTGAGCTACCACATAACTTGCACTTTTCATTTCCAGAATGTTTTTTCTTCTTTGGAGTTTCCTCTCCCTTCTTTCCTTTTCTGTCTTTGCCACTTGACTGTTTCCTGAAATCCATACCTTTTCCTTTCTCAATTGCATTTATTTCCTCCTTAGTTGGTCCACTGTTGGTTTTCATGGACACCATCTGCAGACTGGTAATTTCATCACAGTGGGCAATGTCGAGAGCTTTATTGAGTGTGAGGGATTTCTCTCGCAGAAGTTTCCTTTTGTGCTTTTGTCTAGGAGGCCGATGAGTAATCTACCGCAGGTTAACTCATCATTAATTTATCTAAATTCACACGACGACACATATTTTAGGAGACGAGTGATGAAGCTGTCAACGGACTTTCCTGAATTTTGCTCACATGAATTGAAAAAATACCGCTCGTAAACAACGTTGAGTTTTGGTTTGAATTAATTTTCCAACGCAGTCATGCATGCTTGCACATTGTTCCTCTCTTCAGCAGAAATGTTGAGTTTAAGAAATGTTAAACAGTTTTTTTTCCCATCACGGAGCAAAAAGATGCTAATCTTATTTTTGAATCTTGTTTGTCCTGCCATTGTTGACGAAAAAATTCCCAGTTACTCATAAGGTTTCCTTTGCAGACCATTGTAGCAGGCACAGGGAAATTAGATGGAACAAACGAAGCTGAAACTACAGCAGGTTGTGTGCTTATCCCAGGTGTAGGAGCGTTCACGGTGCTTGATGCCAGGTGCTCGGTTTCCTCGATATCCGACAAGTTGTGTTTGTTGAGTGTTTTTGTCTTTTTTAGGCGGTTGATTCGGCAATCGATCCGCTGAAACCAACGACAACTACTTCGGAGTGTTTCCTTTGCTCGGTGACAAGATTTTGCTGCTAAAGTGCGGTTTAGGTCAGGTTAAATTCAGCATTTTCATTTCTGACACCAAGATGTAAGACAGCAGTCACCATGTGCTTTTTATCAACTAAACTTTATTGCCAAATAAGGGAATACAAAGCTCTGACGCAATCAACTGAGTATCGTAACAGTAACCATGCAGTGGTTTTTTCCTCCCCTGGAAGTTTATTCTGAGTAAATTTGCAATTAATGATAATAAAAGCTAATTGTAATAGTTATCAGGAGAGTATATACTAAATTACGGATAAAATTATATAGAATTACAACATGCTGTAAAAGTCTACGCTTGTACAGGGCAGCTAACAGTTCCATGATAAAATTGTAACACTGCAGAAGCCAAAGCACAGGGAATTACTTTTACATCACGACATTTATGCTTTGGGCACTGAATCCAAACCAGAGAATTGATGCACTCATTTCAGTTCTGTGTAACTTAACATTATGAGGGTAGAGTGCAACAATTCCACAAAAACCTGGGGCAAGCAGTCATCCCTTTTATTGGTCAACGTTCTTGTTGCCAGTCAAACCAGGAGTTCTTGTCAGAGGGACCAAATTTGTGTTGCTTTCCTGAATCTCCAGCTTGGATAGAGTGGTGTAAGATGGCATTCTATGTAATGGCTAGACCATGGTATCTCTGAATCTGCTTTATTTGTTTGTCTAAGGTGGCCACACCCTCCAACTGGCTTTTTCATGTGAAAAACACTTGCCTCAAGAAAATAACTGTGCATTAAATATACAGAACAAGTTGAAAGCAAAAAAATATGATTGAATTACTAGTCATTTAGAGTAGAGCAAACATTGCCAAACAATAAATTAACAAATACGTACGTACTGTGTTATACACACAGTCAAACAGAAACTGTACAACAAAGTTGAAACATTTTTCTGAGAACCATTCAGAACAGTTGAAGTTGACCACATCTTAAATGATAGAGATAGTTGAGGAAAACTGGTTTAGATCTATTTGCTTATATCCTTGTCCTTTAAAATCTCTTTTCATCTGAGCTTTCTGATCAAGAGTCTGATAAAGCCAGTTCGGATCTAGACTCCCTGATTGGTCAATCAATGTCAGATTCAAAGAAAGATGACCTTATTGGTGTATCAGGGGTTGCATAATCATAGTAATAATGATGATAATAGTAATGATAATTGTTATTTGTACTAGTTGACCAAAAGCACCTATGAAAGTTGCTAATACATATGTAAATTACATTATAAGTTTAATATTTGTTAACTAAGGAACAAATCTGAGGTGTTCAAAAGTTAAAAGGAATGACTAAATGAAAAGGCCTTAACTTTACTCTTAAGGGAACTTAGGCATGCTACACTTCTTAGTTGGTTTAGTAAATTTTTCCAGAGTGAGGGAGCAATGACTGGAAAAGTGCAATTTCCATAGGAGTCAAAATTACCTGCAGAAGACCACTAACAATTCCTTGTTGGTGGAGTAGTGTCCAAGGTGTATTTTTAATTAAGGAGTCTGCATTAACAACTTTTCTCACCGGGACTGTTTCTCTCGTTTGCCTTTCTCTTCCTTCTATAATGGTTTAGGACTTTTTATTAGTCATCTCATAGGACAATCCCTACCACAAGAGAAAATTCTTGGCAAGTTAGTTGTCAGGTTGATTGTAGCATGCTAGATATCTATCTCATGAGCTCCCTATCAAGACATGTGCCTCACATAAAATTATACATAGATATAGATGTAGGAAGTCTTTGTTTTCATATTTCTATTGTACAGTGCTTGATACGTAGAAGTAGAGCGTGATATGTATAGAGATAGGGAAAAAAACAGAGACTATACCCTACAAGCCTATTTCGTGATTACTTACTCATCAGGGGATTTTATTGTTAAGAATATTCATAACCATCATTTATATCATTTACAAACTTGCATAAAGGCGTGATGGTAAATTTCAATGCTTTGTTCAATTGTTACGCAGTAATGCTTTGTTTTTGTGGTGGTATGAGGACACGAGTTCATATGTTTATTGAACGATGATAATAAAGGTTGGCAGATGATAAATAATTTTTCTATGAGGCAGAGGTTGCATCTTTTGCTTGTGCTGTCTTAGGGCGACCTTGATGAAAGGATATGCCATAAAATAAAGTGGTCAATGTTATTTTCTTTAAGGGTCTAGATATGTTTGTTGAGTTTGGTAGGATTTCCGTGTTTTGTGTGTCGGAATGATGCGGTGTGGTTTCTGAATCTAGTCTTGAAGTCGTTTTCTGTACGTCCCATGTATGTTTCAGTGGTGCTATTGTCCTTACATGTGACGGTGGCTTGGTAGATTAGTGATGAACTGAGGCAGTTTCCGTTAAGTGGGCATGTGTTCTTCTGTCGGCAGCTGCAAGTTTTGGAGTCTTTTGTGTGGGTGTTATTTGCGGTGTCATCGATATGTTCGGATGAATTTAAAATGCGTTTGTTCTTGGTTGGCGATGGTCTTTTTAGTGTTATTCATGCAGCTGTAGCAGATTTTGATTGTGTTGCAATGTGGTCTTTCGGGAAGTGCTTACCACTAGGGCAAGGAGTCTGTGTCCAATATTGGTGCTGAAATTTTTGCTGATTGGGGGGTTGTACCTGAGTATGTTGTTCTGTTGTCTGTCTTTTCTTTTGTTAGTTGTGAGTGGTTCGTAATGAAGAGTGGACAGGTATCCGCATTTGTCGAGTGCTTTTTGATATGGAGCCGCCCCTCCACATCAGAAAGCACTCGACGAATGCTTTTTGATATGGAGGGGCGGCTTCATATCATTAAGCACTCGAAGAATGCAGATACCGGTACATTCTACACTACGAACAACCCACAACTAAAAAATAAAAAAACAGACCATGGAACAACGTACTCTGGTACAACCCCCCATTTAGCAAAAATGTCAGCACCAGTATCGGACACAGATTCTTTACCCTGGTAGACAAAAGCACTTCCTGACAGACCACAAACTTAGAAGAATCTTTAATCGTAACACAATCAAAATCAGTTGCAGCTGCATGGATAACACTAAACAGATCATCAACAACCACAATAAATGCATTTTAAATTCATCCAAACACATCGATGACACCGCAGATAACACCAAGACAAAAGACACCAAAACTGCGGCTGCCGACAGAAGAACACATCCCACTTAACGGAAACTGCCTCAGTTCATCACTAATCTACCAAGCCACCGTCACATGTAAGGACAATAGCACCACTGAAACATACATGGGACTTACAGAAAACGACTTCAAGACTAGATAAAGAAACCACACTACATCATTCCGACACACGAAACACGGAAATTCTACCGAACTCAGCAAACATATCTGAACCCTTAAAGAAAATAACATTGACCACTTTATTTCATGGCACATCCTTTCATTAAGATCACCCTAAGCAGCCCAAGCAAAAGATGCAACCTCTGCCTCAAAGAAAAATTATTTATCATCTGCCAACCTGAATTATTTTCACTCAATAAACATAATGAGATTGTGTCCTCATGACGCCACAGAAACAAAGTGTTACTGTGTAACAATTGAACAAAGCATTAAAATTTACCATGACGCCCATGATGCAGATTTGCATAATAGGTGTGGATATGCCTATAATATATTATATAAATATATGTGTATATTTATATATATATATATATATATATATATATATATAAGTTAAAGAATTAAAGAGGACGCATCGATTCTCTGTGACTGAGTTTCGCGCCTTAGCGCTCGTCAGACAGAACTTTATTCAATAAATAACATACCTCCTTATATACAAGTTAGATGAGTAGCTGATTAATTCACTAGTGTGATGATCTAATCTACGTGTGAAATAAAGATTCTATAGAGCTATTGTTGGCGGCTTTTGAAATTTGCTAAGTAAAACTTACTCTCGCGGCGGCGTTTAGAAATGAGTTCTGTTCTTTTGTT